GAGGCCAGATTACAAAGGTTTGAGAAGCTAATGAGGAAAGCAAGTGGGGGCAATGGTTCCAAACAGCTTTTTCTACAAGTCTGGCCTCAAAAGGAAAGATACAGAATGATAGCTTGAAGGCTCTGTAAGGCTTTTTTTCAGCATAGGTGAGACTTGGGAATATTTTGCAGGAAGTATGGAAGGACCCAGTAGATAAGGGAGATTAAAGATTAGAGAGATGATGCAGGGTACAATCTGCTAAAGATAGAAGAGATGAGATCAAGAGTATAAGCAGCAGGGTTAGCCTTGGTAAGAAGACCCACCTTTTGATCAGATAGGAGAAGAGAATGATATCCAGGGGTTTTGAGAAGAAGAGGAAGCTCATGGTAAAAAGTTTCTTTAAGGTACTTAGCTGAGAGGGAGGAGGCAATAGTATGAGAAACTTGAGAAGAAAAGGTCTAGAACAGCCTCTGGGGAGTAGGATGGAGAATTAATTATAGATGAATAAAAGGAACATACTGCTGAAATGAGGGCCCAGTTGAGCCCAATTAACAAATTTATTGTGAACCTAAATACTCTGGCTGTCAACTTAAGGAACAAACCAGTGGCTCTGGGTTAAGAGAAAAGAAAAGCCAAAAAAAAGAGAGGCATAGTTGTCAATTTCCAGTATACATCTCTCAACCCTCTGGAATCCTGTTTGGCTTTCAGTAATCCTAAAGAGAAAATATAAATTGAATTTTAAAGTTTCCCAAGGCCAAGTAATCCTTTGTTTTTTAGCTGAGTAACCACCTGTTTAGAACGGAGGTTCTTAACCTGGGGTCCAAAGGTACATTTCAGGAGATATGGTGAACTTAAAAAAAAAAACAAAAAACAGACATCTTAATAGATGAAAATAGATAGGTATTTTAATATAACTGGTTTCCTTTTGTAGTCCTATGTATTTTATTTTAGGTACTTAAAGCAATTATTCTGAGAAGAGGTGCGAAAGTGCTTTACGAGATTAGCAAAGGCTTCTATGGCTCAAAAAAGATTAAGAACCCTTTGTTTAAAGCAACAGTCAGTTTAGCAGTCTCCTAGGCTTCAGAATTGCTTTTTTTCCCCTTTAGCACTAACACAAAGTGGTCAGGTCATTCGAGGGTGGTTCTTACATAATAAAGAACACCAACCCTAAGCTCCAAGTTAGGTGCTTTTGTTGTCAATTCTAGTACAAGTTGTTACACAAATGAAGCTGGCACTGGATTCCTCACTCTTGTGAGATTCTATCTTTCTGTGTCAAGCTCAAGAAGAATGCTTTACTGGTTTTTCTAAACTACTTCATGCTACACCAAAAGTATCCTGTAAGTAACTTCGGCAGGCCCCAGGGCTCAAAAGGAACTCTCTATCTTTGGCAAAGGACAATGGAATGTGCTCAGAATTCAAGTAGAAATTCATAGCTATCAAACTGTAGGCAACAATAGGTAATTTGGGTACCACAGTGGGATGAATGGAATTAACTCAAGACATGGGTTTTTAGGTAAAAGAAACATTAACTCAACTAGCTAAGAGACATGGGGTGTCAAAATGGTACAGGGGCATTATATTTTATGTTAAAAGATACTGTAAAGCAGGCTAAATTTATGTTAAAACATTCCTGTTAATACCACACAAATTTGCTACCAAAAACATTAACAGAAGCCTTGAAATGCTTGACGGTTTTTATGACATAAAATTCCTAAGACACTTATCAAAAGGGTGAAACATCGATCCTAACTTCTCATTTGATTACAGACACTGTATTTTAGGATTAGAATAAGTCAAGGTCAAGCTTCCGTGAAGTACTGGGAATGTCTCCCTCCTCACCCCCAAAACTTGGATGGACAACGAAAAGTACAAAAATTATCTTTGAATAGTGGTTACTTTTTAAAGATTTCTCCTAAAAGGTACAATGCTCATTTTTCAGGTTTCCAATGTTCAACATAAATCCTTGGACAAAACAGACACACAGTCCTTGCTGAGACTGGTGCTTCATACAAGCCACTTTGCCAGGTAAATAGATAAACATACCACACACATAACTCTTTAAGGTATTGGCCATACTATTAAAACTCCCCATTGTTCTACCACTGGTCCACTACTTTGACATCACCATTATACTCAACTGAATCTCATATCTCATTCCTCTCCAGGTTCTACTCTGAATTTCCTCCTCTACCATGCCCCTAACTCTTCATCCTGCAACCTTATTCCAACCCTGGAGTTCATACACTAGAAGAACCCGTTACCCTTTGGCCTTCTCAGCCTCCTCCTCTAGGTGGATAGCTCTTCCAAGAACCTCCATTCCAGGAGGGTACCCAGAGCAGCCATGTCTCATTCCTCTCCAGAATGCACTAGGACCACCCTCCCCCCTTTAAAATAGGTGAGAGCCATATTTTGAAGGGCTTTAAATTCCAGCTAAGAACTTGGTATTTTATCATGCAGGCAAGAAAGACACTGATGACTTCTGAGCAGGAAAATGACAGTCTGAAGAGTGGAATGAGTATAACACCAATTTAGCAGGTAACAACTCCCACAAAAAAAGCACTTTGATGTAGGTATGGGAAGTTCCAGAATTCTACATGCCAGGCTGCCAAAGTAAAAGTTTATTGTTCATGTGACCTCCAGTCTCTCCACTTGTCAGTATTCTCCCAGGCCAACACCCCTGTCCTAGACTTTCCTCCCTTCTCAATTCTGATCCTGCAGTTAACCCATTTTCTGTCATCATCTACTCTTGTCCTCTTTGTACCCCCAAGGCACTCCCACCATCTATCTCCTTGGCTCTTACTCACATGTTGCTAGCAGAAGCTACCATACTGACTGAGCTATCCAGAAATTTGATATCTAATTTCCTCACGGGGTCCTCACCGCAGCAAAGCAATCCTTTTTTTCTTGCCTTACCGATCATCTATAACACTTACAAAAGAGTCTATTCTAAACTTTCTCTTCTGAAGCTTCCCAGACCAGCCTCGGCCCTGACTTTCTAAGCTCAAGATCTTACCTCAAATTCAACAGAAAAAATTAAGACTAGTAACTTTGAGCTCTCTCCTTTCCCTTCTCATCTCACATTCTCTTTGCATTTCAAACTTTTAAGAAGAGTTGGACCTTCACAACAAAGCCAACTCTTTTCAGGCTCTGGATCCCATCCCCTCCAGCAGGCTGTTACCACAATTAGTCTCCCTCTTTAATCTCTCCCCAACTACTAGATTATACTCTATTATTTACAAAACACATCCAGAGCTCATCATTGGACCCTACAATCTCAAACTGTTATCCTATATCTCTCTCCTCTCTTTCACAGACTAAAAAAGGGCAATCTACACTTTTTGCTCATATTTCCTCTCCTCACTTACTACTCAATCCTTGCAAAATGGCTTCTGATCTCATCACAACTGTTTTCTCTAAAGTTACCAATGATCTCTTAAACGGTCAAATCTGATGGTCTCTGCCCCCTCAATCTCCATCCTTTTTGATCTCATGAAGGATTTGACACTGCTGTCTACTCCCTCTCCTGGATTCTCTCTCCTCCCTGGGTTTTTGTGACACTACACTCTCTTGGCTCTTTTTCAACATGTCAGACTGCTCCTTCTCACTCTCCTTTGTACCGATTCACCTTTCTTACCATGCACTCTGAGGATAAACCCCAAATGCTGTGTCCAGGGCCCTTTTCTTTCTACACTCCCTCTCTTGGTGACTCTATTAGCCCCCATGGGTTAAATGATCACTTCTATGCAGATTTTGAGACCTATATATTCAGTCCTCGTTGTTCTCTAAAGGTCCAATCCCTCAGTACTTGCTACCTACCTAGTGGACATTTCCACCTGGATGCTGTATACATATGTTTTCAACATGTCCAAAACATAACACACTGTTTTCCTCTTCTTCCACACACATCACTCTTCTTCATTCCTCAATTTTCTTCAAGGGCACCAAACAGCCTCTGTGTCTCAGGTTTGGTACCTGAGTCATGTTCAATTCATTTTCCCTTACCTTACACACCTAATCAGTTGCCAAATTTACAGCATCTCTCCTCTGTTTTTCTCTCCACGCACACAGCCACTCTTCTACTGCAGGCTCTCATTACATTTCATCTGAACTATTTTAACAGCCTCAAGGCCTTTATCAGTCTTCTTGCCTCAAGTCTCTCCACTCTCCAAACCCTACCAAAGCAATATTCCTAAAGCACAGATCTAACATGTCACTACACTGCTCAAAAACTCCAGCAGCTACTTATAACTTCTAGAATCAAATATAAACTACTCTGACAATTAAATTCTTTCACAATCTGACTCCAACTTATCTTCTAGGCTTATAAATTATTCTCTTCCATACACTTATCTGTATAACCAAACTAGCCTCACATACAACATTCTATTTCCCATCTCTATGTTACAGGCTTTCCTCTCACGTCTTCAAGACACTCCCTCCTCATTCTTAGAATTCTTCATTTCCCTGAAATCTCAACTCAAATGCTACTTCCCAATTATTATTTCTTTTGCCCCAAATTTCCATTTATGTCATCTTCATCCAATAAAATATAAGCTCCTTGAGGGTAACATCTACTTTATTTTTGTCCATGAAGCCAGAGTGTTTGGCACAAAGTAGGCACTTAATAAATGCTTACTGAAAGAATGACATGCTGATTTTTCACACAGTAATCCAGGTATAAAAGAAACTGCAATAGCTTGGTAATTTCATAAAATGTTAGAGCTATCAAACCCCTCTTTAGAATAAGGAAACTGATACCCATGAAAGGTTAAACGATTTGCACAAGATCACACAACTAGTTCGTGGCAGATTTGGGACTATTAACCCAAGCTGCCTACCTTTCAGTACAATGTTCTTTCTATTGTGTTTTGAGATCTCCCTAATAAAAATACAGGGTAGGAAAAAATGTTATTTTTATCTTGGGACCTCTTTTCCCTCATCCCAAAGCTTAACTCTACAGCCTATGGGAAAATGCCCTTTCACAAAAGTTCAATTTTCTTCTTCATTGTATTTGGTCATACCTCCTCCCTGCATCATTTTGTAGATTTTGCTCTCAATATGGAGCTGAGGGTGTTTGGTTTTGACACATTCGAGCTTGATGGCAACTTCTTCTCCTGCAGCAATGTCAGTACCTAATGGGAAAAAAAAAGTTATAATAATTAGTTGCCTGGGTGTAATGTACTAGGAGAGGGCACTTTTTGCTAATTTCTGTCAACTGAGGTTTTTTTTTAATACTAAATTATAGAAATTTTTATTACTTTTCTATTTTTTAAGACTTTCAGATCTGGTTTAAAAAAGATAAAGTTTTCCAAATACGATAAAAACTCTTCCTTGTAATCCATTTAGGTTAGTATTTATTAGTAACACTAAACCATGTGGTTTTTTATCATAGAGATAAAACTAATATATTTTTCTCTTCTGACTATTCTTTAGCCAACCTAGATTAGTGTATTATCATGTTCAACCAACTAAGGTATTCTTTCTAATAGTTACATGGCAATTATGGCTATCTATGTCCTCCTGTAACATGTTACTTCATTTACCACTACTGTCCTTTCTATAAATAGGACAAGTGTCCTTGTATTTAGAACCATTTTTCTAGTAGTGAGGTTGAGTTTTCAATGGATCCACCCAAACAATCTGAAGTTGATCACCCAAGAATCTATCAGCATATGCTAAATGTCAAAATGTCTGGAATGTTATAAACATAACGCTAATGAAGCCAAAGGTTCAATTTCCAAACATATCTGAAGCCTGTTTAATAGACAATGACAGCATCTTAAACCTCTACCAGGAACCCTGAAAACATGTGCTACTGGTCACAAAGGAAGACTAGGCAAGAGTACAAATACCCAATGCTAATGCAAACCTTAAACTTTTATGGGGAAAAAAAATCCCAGGTGTACTAGTAGCATAAAACCCTTATATAAAGAGTAAGATCCTTTGACCTCTCAGATAAGGCAAAAGCACCTCTTGGTCCAGGGGGCAGCTAGGCGGTACAGTAGATAGAGTGCCAAGGCCTGAAGTCAGGAAGACTCATCTTCCTGAGTTCAAATCTGGCCTCAGACATTTTCTAGCTGTGTGACCCTGGGCAAGTCACTTAACCCTGTTTGCCTTAGTTTCAGCTGTAATATAACCTGGAGAAGGAAAAGGCAAACCACTCCAGTATCTATGCCAAGAAAATCCCAAATGGGGGCAGCTAGGTGGCGAAGTGGGTAGAGCACCGGCCCTGAAGTCAGGAGGACCTGAGTTCAAATCTGGCCTCAGACACTTGACACTTACTAGCTGCGTGACCCTGGGCAAGTCACTTAATCCTGACTGCCTCACCAAAAAGCAAAACAAAAAACAAAAAACCAACCTGTGGGAAGACATGCTGTTTCAAAAGGATACAGCAAGAAGAAATGTTATTATTTTCTATTTTCTAAGTATTTTGAGCTCCTAAGAAGAAAGGTGCTACTAACAATAATCTGGGTTGCAAGAAAAGCTACCCCTCTGACAATCCGCATGTCATATAACTTAGTCACATCCAAGAAACACTTAAAGAATCTGAGTCATGCCTTGTCTGCCTGAACTGTTCTAAGACAGTTTACTTCTAGTAAAATAGGACTTTTGGTCACTTATGAAAAATGAATCACTGCTCCCCTCTCAAGAATGACCATCTTTTTATTATTACTAATAGACTATTTGTTGTTCAAGAAATTAATTTACCGTTCAGCATGAGCCATTTTGAACATTCTCATTAGAAAACCATATAGCGTATTCAATACTGACTAATGCAATTAGGACAATACACATATGAATTCAGTGGCTTTCCCAAAATTCTACTGAAAATGAATTCACTAATTCAGTTAAGGAATACTACGAGTGATATTAATTGCATGATGTTATGACCAATCTGCTAAACTTTTCTAAGAAGCAGAGACAAACCTATGAAACTTTTCTTCTTTGTATAAACTTGTCAGTACAACATCACTTAGCAGCTGGCAGGAACTCCATGACAGGACAGCTGTACAACAGCACAATCAGACTTTCCAAGGCCTGTCATCCTTGCAGGTGCTCATTTGATAGACACAGTACAACGTTCCTTAGACTATTTCTGCTGTGTAAGAATTAACTTCTGCAATAGCAGTTTTTTATCCCTTCTGCTGAGCCCAAGGAACCATAGGTTTTGCGAGCAAACAGAGACACTCCCAACTAGTCTAACACACAGCCTGGGAGCTGGCCTTATACTGCTTGACCTATAGATGGAAGGGATATCCTGCTCTCATGACTGGCTAAAGGGAAACAGGGGGACAAGTATTATGTGCCACACAGACGTAATAGCAGGATCTGTCCTGCACTGTTCCCTCTGGGTAGCTCATCTCCCGTGGGGCAGGCATGTCAACTGCAGCAGCCGTACTTCAATGAATTCCTTGGCTCTCAGATGTCACATATGCAACCACCTATGCGCATCACTAAGATTCTTATTTTTGGTTAGTGAATCCCTTCCACAGTATAAGTCTAACAATATTCCACCAAGGCTAGATATTTTAAACTAAGACTAAGCTTTAAATATGTTCAGTTCATTAATATATGAACATTGAATATAGATTTTTCTACACAAGACTGTATGTCGCTATGTTTGTTGACTGTACCTAGCACATGGGTTTCTGTGATCAATAACTTTGGCTCTTACTCAAGCCATCACTTAAACTTTCAAGGTAAACAGGATGTTAACTCCCCAGAAGAACATAGAGAAATAATCTCGATATCTAAAACAATTGATTACTGTTCTGAAAGGAAATTTTGGCAAAAAATACTGAGGCATTGAGGAAAACAAATGTCAACTCCCCAAGTGCAGGACTGTTTCATTTCTTTCTTTGTATCCCCAGTGCCTGGCACATAGATGTTTAATAAATGCTTGCTGATTATCTAGGTTCCACTAAAATTCCACTCCAGTGTATTGTCATCTATTGCATGGATGTGACCTTGGATTCTAGAAGGCTTTGCCAGCAAAGTATAAAGTATGACAAGACTAAAGTTAAAACCAAGTTAAAACAGTTTCATGTAGGGGATGGGCCAAAAACTTTAAGTTCTGCTGCCTGAGGACCAGCCTAGCTAAATTTGGAGAGCCCCATCAGTTGATTTGTGATGAATTTTCAATGACAACAACTCAAAAAGACTATCTACTAAGGTACAACAGGTTCACAAATATCTTCGATGACAAAATTCTTTTAAATATTTAAAGAAACAGGCGGACATAGCTACTAACTCTAACATTAAGATATGAGAATATATCAAGTAATAATACCCCCAAAACCATCTTAACAATGCTATTACCAGAGGTTCTATTAACTCACATGGTGACACATGCGGTACTAAAAAAAGATGTCAAAACCTGGAAGAAATATTGGTAAGAGGATCCTGGACAAATATTCACATATAATGAAAATTTCTAAATTGCTATGGATACATGCTTTCCAGAGGAGCTACAGACAATACTTTTTAAAAAAAGTTCTTGCTTTCATTATCTATCAGGCACTATCACCAGCAACTAGACCTAAATGCCACATTTCAGCCAGAGGACAGGACACCAGATACATAAAACCATTCCCTTACCACTTAAGACATGACAAAGGGGTTATGTTAAATTTTGACCCGATTATACTCCACAAAACGCATGACAATTGTGAAATGCTCCCAGCCTGTACTTTTGTGTGAAGTTTTATAATAAGATTCAGGTTTTAGACCTGAACCTTGAGGGTGAACTTAGAAACCAGCTCTCTTAGGTCCAGTCAAGAAGGTACTCCACAACCCAGATAATGAATGATCTAGGAATTTTGCCTGGGGTAAATGTCATAGTAAAGAAGCAGCAAAATGGTCTATCATCTGTTAGAGGGCAACTTTTGGATACAACACTTCTGGGTCAGTGCAAACAAATTTAACTGAACTACACTCTGGTATGCCTTGATATACCGTTGAAAACTACAAGTTCTTCAAAATTCAGTAAGTCATACTGTCCTGGTAGTGGGAAAAGCAAATCCTAAGTCTGAGAAGACATTAATGTCTTCTCAGTCCCATTTCTTGGCTCATCTTCACCATTAGGACAGAGAATGAGTAGTTAACAGTCCTTTCATATGACTGAACCAGCACAGTTGGCTGCATCAATAAAGCAAGACTGTACTTGCTCATGTCGTTCCACTATCATGTTCTGAAAAGAAAGCTCGATGAACTAGAGGACAGCTTTTTCCTCCAATGAAACTATCAAACATCAGAAAGAATGAGATGTTAGGTGGAAACTATGCATCTAAACCACCTATCACCAACCAAAAGAAACAAACAAACAATCTCCATACGTAATCCCTTGTAACTGCAATAGTCCCTTCTTAGTTAGGCCCAGGTAAACTGCAATAGCCTTCTCTCTGCTACTGTGATTGTTAGAAATTATCTTAGTTATGAATATATTACTAAAATATTCTCTGATCCAGTCCAGTAGGTGGCACTTAGAGCTACAGATTCAGAGTCAGGAAGACCAGAGTTCAAATTCAGTCTCAGACAGACCAGCTGTGTGATCCTGGGCAAGTTGTTTAACTTGCCTGCCTCAGTTATCTCATTTCTAAAACAAGGATAAGAATAGCACCTACCTCGCAGGGTGGTTGTGAGGATAAAATGAGATAATATTTGTAAAATACTTTGCAAATCTTAAAAGTGCTAGTTAAAAATCTTAATAATAATAGTAATAATAATTCATTTCCTCCTCAATTGTCTGTACTAACGCAATAAAACAGAAGTACAGGGACCATCTCATTTTTTTCTTTTTGTATCCACAATGCTAGCCACAGTGCTTGGCACAAAAAAGAGGGCTTCAATTTTTCTTTGCATTTATTCAATAACACAGAACATTAGATAATCCTTAAGGTCGCTCATATTTGCATTTGAGATTTTTTTTCTTCTTTGGTACAGACCAGTAATTTCACTGGTGATTTCACTGGCATAAGGCACTTGCCAAGGGGAAAGTCCTTCTACTAACGCAGATTAACGACTTGTTCTGCAATTTATGATTTTAGAAAACTGCTCAGAGCATGGTGAAATGACTAGCCTAGGATCACACTGACTGTATGTGCCAGAATGTGTCAGCACCCAAAACTTTGGATTCCTCAAGGTTTGTATTACCTCTCAATAGACCCATTCTGTGGTAGTATTATGGGAAACTTACCTTTTCACCCATGTTTTCCTTAAATTACTGCTAAAGAGTTTCCACTTGATTGTGGGGATGGGGTGGCCTGGAAGAATGCAACATATGAGGAGGAAAGCAACTGCTGTGGATAATACACATATCAGTAATCTATAATTAATAGTAGGGGAAAAGACATCCAAACACTTAAGCTGAAAAAGGCTAGAAAATATCACATACTTAAAGGCCACCAAAAAATTGCTGACAAAATTAAATCAAGTCCCACACAGGTAAGATTTTGTCTATGATTACTATAAAATCAGAAAAACAATCCAAATAGATTCTTAGAACCCAGGTTCACAAAGAAAAGCTAACCTACAATACAATGAACCAGGCCTCTGACCCCAACACAAGGTTCTGAAAGATCCTGTTTCCAGGTAAGGGGATTAGCGTGGCTAATAGCTGGTCTACTGCTGCCTAGGATCCAGAAGCCAAGGTTAAACAGTTGCCAAAATCCATTTTTCTATAAATATGCCAAACAGCTTGCATTTACCCAGTACACTCTGCTTCCAAAGCACTGCTGAGAATGCACCAGCTGACTACTTAGATATAAATATTTAAATACTACCACCCAACTATAATGCAGCGTTATGGTTATAAAATTTGCTCAAGTGAGTAGTGCAAAAGTTTCTTTCAAAGAGCCACAGAGCCTAAAAAGAGGGGTCGTTCTCCAGGCTTACCAGGAACAAAGAAATATCATCTTCTGTTTGTCTTCATTTTATAAACTACCTCAACTTTTGTAATACTATTTTAATGTTTACAAGACCCTCAATTCCTTTTCCTGAGTTTGGGGGGGTAGGGGTGGTGGAGAACCACCCAGAAAAGGGGAAAAGAAGTCTTCACAGCAATGAGCACAAAGCAGAGCTATTATTGAAATTCAAAATGATTTTCCCCTCGATGATATATAACTAAGCAAAATCCTAAACTACTCAATACAGAGATCACCTTAATCTTTAAATTTGTACACTGTTTTTCCAAGAACATGCCAGAATGGAGTTACTTGTGAAAAACACAATTTCTCTAAGAAAAACTGGGGGGAAAAAGTTATATATATTTTTAAGTTTCACACTTTCTGCCAGATTCAAGTGTTATGTGTTGCTCATATCTATTCCACTCACACTTAGGCTGAAACAACATATCACATTTATCCAAAAGGTAGCTTTTCCAGAGAAAATGATCAACTACAAACTTACCTTATACATTTTACTAGTCAAAGGATTGTTTCCAGAGTACAGAACTCTCGGGTATAGCCTCTAGTTTTGCTAATGACTAATTCTATATAACTTGCCACCAATTATTTAGCCTGAGTTTCTTTCCTATCTTTAAAGGGAGGGTAAACACTGATCAGCACAGCATGAAGACCAGTTTAAATTAATTTTATCTTTGAGCACTTGAAAGTGTATATATACAAATTTCATCAACTAAAGGTTACAAAAACAATAGCATTGATTTCACAGGCTTTCCAATTCAAGGTATATCCTTTTAGTACTAGACAATCCTATTTGTGATCATTCTTAACATTCCTAGAGAATTTGAGTTACCTAAAATTCTTCCCCTCCACCTTCCCCACCAAAATTGATGGCAAAACTTATCTATCCATAGCCATTTTAAGCAGAAGAAACTGGGACCCAGGAAGGCTTTTCAGTCACTTACCCAAGTCACTGTGGGGTTGGATATAGCACCCTGGGCCTCTACTTTCTCCACTTATTACTCTAATCATGGTTGCTACTGTTGTAAAGTTTTATGTTTAGTAGGAAAAATAGGAACTGAAGCAAGAACGTATCTGTAACAAGGTTGCTGTAGGAACTGCAACTGTGGAATTTCCAGATTTTTGACTAGTGTAGTTCTCCACCTCCACACTGCATTAGCGTTGTTTTGACATTTTCCCCCACGAGTACAAAACACATGGATTAGGGAACACATGGGGATCCCAAAGAGAGCAGTAAGATGGGGCTGTAGAGTCTTCTGAAAGCCACATGGTCTTTGTTTATTTTTGGACAACACAGTGGAGAGGTAGCAAAAGCCCTACCCTTTTCTCTCTAAAAAGCAGAGACATAGTTAACAGTAATCTGATCACCAGTCTCTTAGATCTTCCACTGGAAACGCAAAGATTTCCTTTGGTGCACTGTGTTACACCATACCAGGTAACTAAGAACACAAGCTCTCTCAGATACTTAGTTACTGACAATTGCATTATAGCAAATATAGCCATCCATTACAATAAATACCTCCTCAGAATACTATATCTAAAAAAAACAAAACGTAATAGTTATTTGAACTCAAATCCACAGCACTATAGACACAAAAATGTATTTCTTCAGACTCTTAACCATATTAATTTCAGGAAGCAATGTATTTCTAACTCTTCTAACTTTCATCCCTTAACTTCAAAGCCAAAGGAAACAACCTGGTATACAGGAAAGAGATACTAGTCTGAGAGTCAGAAACGGGTTCTAGTTCAAGCTCTGTCATGAATAAGCTTATGTGACCTTGAACAAGTAGACAAACCTTTCTGGGACCTCAGTTTCCTAAGCTATAAAAAAGGGGGAGGGGGGGAAGAGCTAGACTGCTTAGGGTAACTTCCACCTCTAACATTCACTCTAATAAAATCCAGTTGCCTCCCTTCTCCCAAGGGAATAAGTTTTATTGATGAAGTTTAAATTAACCTTCCTCTTGTGTTAAAATCTTTCCAAAGAAAATATTTTGGGGACTCAAAAAAGTCCTATCTAGAATCAGGAAAAACTTAACATCAGACCTCCACCATCCCTAAACCCAATCACTTCAGGTCCCTGATTCCTCAAGCCAATGATTTGGTCTCCTAGGGCAGGGCCAGAATTTGATTGGGGGTGGGAGGGTGGGGGGAGGGAAGAGGTGGGGAGTTGAGAGCAGGACAGATGGTCTGAATGGTTAGAACCTAAATCTACAACAGTGTGGCTTAGATCCTACCCAAGGATTCACCAGATAAGTAAATAATTCACCCTCATTCACTCTCGAAAAGGGGCTAAAGTAATTAAAAGCATCCCAGGACAGGACACTGAAAAAGTCTCATACCTTCCAAATTCAGAGACTGCCGCCCACCCCCCCACCCCCCACCCCCACCCCCCGGCCATTAATTAATGGAGACGCCAAAACCAAAGTCCAATCCCACCAGGTTTTCCCAGCCAGGTGTCAGCAAGTCAAGGTGGTCTAGACTCGAGTTCGATTTCACCCACAGAGCCAGAGACAGACACCGAAGGGTATTAGGACTGAGTCCAGGCTGTAGCTCAACAAAGGTCCAGGGGTAGGGTGGGGTGTTTTGTCCAGGCTAAGGGAGAGCAGCTAAGGTACACAACGGCAATCTGAGAAAACCAGGATAGAGGGGGTAATAGGGGGAGAGCATCCCCGGGTGATAAAGGGCTATAGTGGTCCGGGAAGACTAGCGGAAGCGACGAAAGGGCAGGAGCTGGGGCGGGGGTGGGGTGTCAGTGCGGGGCTGGGGGTAGGGGGAGGAAGGAAAGCCGGTGTGGGGGGAGCAGTATATAAGGGGGGGGTTCGCTGCAGGAGGAGGGACGGGGTGGGGGAGGGGACAGGGTTTCAATCCTCACCGAGATAGATGTCTCCAAAGGAGCCGCTGCCGATCTTTCGGCCCAGCCGGTACCTGTTCCCAACTCTCAGCTCCATGACGGCGGTGGCTTCGGCTCCGGCCTGGTTCGCTCCCTCCCCTCCCGACCGCTTCCTGGGTCTGCGCTCCGGGGGAGGCGGCGCCGCTGCTGCCGCTAATGCGGGTCCGGCTCCCGGCTCCGCCCCCCTCACGGCCCCGCTTTCACCATCGCTTTCCGGCCGCCCCGCCGCTCCCAGCGCCTCAATATGGGGCGGATGGGACAGTCCGAGCGCCGCCGCCCCTGCTCCGGCCCCCGCCGGCCCTGTTCGCCCTCTCCCCACCACGGATGGACTCGGATCTTCCGGGCCTAAATCCCCCTTCAGCCGCCTAAAGGAGCCGCCGCCATCGCGCTGTGACGTCACTTCCCCTAGCAACCCGGCGGGGCGGGGTCCGCGCTGCTCTGGGGACACCAGCGGGGCGGGGGCGGGGAGAGAGGAGTGTAGTGGGCTAAAGCAGCCAGAGCTTGGGGCGGGGCGGGGCGGGGCGGGATGAGGTGTGAGAGTTTCTCAGGCTCCATGGTCAGGTTGGCCCGATCAGTTTGGCCATGGACTCTTGAAGGACGTGTCACAGTGATTCACTAAGGAAAAGATGAGCCTTACTAGTTAATCAGCCCCCACTGATCCCCCATGAACCGCCCCCCCACCCCTACTCCTCCCCTGGTCATTGACCCATATAGATCCTCCGGTCAGCCTTCCACTATTTCTTCCTAAACCAGTTCCCCTCCTTCCATCGACTCTTTCCTATTCTTGAGACCCTCTCCAGTGCCTCTAAAACAAACCCCTGAAATGAGGAGAGAGGAATAGGGAGGTGGGGTCCCAAACACTTTTCACTCAATTCTTTATATCTACCTGATCACCTCACAGAGAAAGTTGTGTGAAGATTCTCAGATTCAGGATCAGTTTCCCCTATCTACTTCTGGGCCCAAACTGGCCTATCTCCTGAAGGTTGTCCTCACTGGCTTATCTGGCCTCTCTATATATGAGGGCAAGGAATTTGGTAGCTTCTCTCTTGGATAAAGGAACATATACAGAATGTTCATTTAGCCCTGTGTTTCTTCTGGGCAGCAGGCAGAGAAACCTGTCTGTTTCTTGGGATAGATGGAGAGGCCCAACCCACAGAGTGTCTTTTAAGAGGCTGAAGAAAGCAGATACTTCGGGCCTCTCTTGAAGTCCCCGGGGGGAGATGAAAGTTCCCAGGAACCTTTTAAATCCACAATAGGGAGAACTCTCCTCTTACCTAGACTTGTAGGATGAAAAATAGCAGAGTCTGACATGAGAAAAAAACAAGAACAAGGAAGGGGGAGGGGAGGGAAGGGAATAGAGAAGGGATTGTGGTTGACAAAGAATGTCCAACTGCAATCCCTTATTACAAGAGATTCAAAATGTGCAACACCCTCCTGAAGAATTCAGAGGAAGCCTAATGTCCAGTCTTTCTCCTGAATCTATACTGAATTGCTTATGTCCAACTCCAAGCCTTACTGCTGACTTTCCTAGACTTTTGTACTATTTTGTACTATTCTGTGCAATAGTACAGAAGCCTCTTCACCTTGGAAGTTTACTTCACTCCTGGAATTCTCATACTGGAGTTACCCTCAGCCTACTTGGGCCTCTCCTTCTGATTAGCTGATTGCTTTCTAAATGTCCATTTTAACAAGGATGCCACAGGGGCAGCTAGGTGGTGCAGTAGATAGAGCACCGGCCCTGAAGTCAGGAGGACCTGAGTTTAAATTCGACCTCGGACCAAACACTTGATACTTACTAGCTATGTGAGCTTGGGCAAGTCACTTAACCCCAATTGCCTTTAAAAAAAAAAAAAAGGATGCCCCAGTCAACCATGTCTTATTCCTCTCCAGGCTGTGCTCCTGACTCTCCCCCAATTTTCTTTACCATTCCCCATCTCTTCAAGTACCCTGTCTCTCCCCTCCTCCTTTTCAGCTCCATGAATGTAAGCTCCTTGAGAGCAGGAACTGTTTTTCTTTCTGAGAGTAAACACTTAAATGCTTGTTAACTTGACTACTGTATTTATCCTGTGGTTGGTGCTAAAATATTCCAGGAAGTTGACAACTGATAGCAGTTTCCAACTGTTGTCCAAAATATTTTTTTCTTTCAAATAAATCTTCTCAGAAAATTAATGTCAAGAAAGATTGTATTTAATGTAAAGGGCTGGGGGTAGTGGTGGTGGTCACGTAACCAATCAATTGCAGTCTGGCCCGTCCCTACCTTTCTAGTCTTCTTACACATTTCTCCAAACCTTGCTCTCTACTGCCCATTGATACTAGCCTTGTTGCAGACCTCATGCATAACACTCCCTCTCTCATCTTTGTACCGTTTCGTTGGCTATCCCAATGCCTGAAATATATGTACTCCCTCCTCACTTTCACTCATTTACCTCCTACTTTGGGAGTCCCTGGTTTTCTTCAAGATTCGGCTCTAGCACCACCTTCTAGCCTTTTCTGATCCCCCAGCTGTGAATGCCCTCCCTTCCAATACCACTTTATATTCATTTTGTATATTTTGTTGTTGAGTCGTTTCCATTGTGTTAGATTCTTTGTGACCTCACTTGGGGTTCTCTTGGCAAAGATACTAGAGTGGTTTTGCCATTTCCTTCTGCAGCTCATTTTATAGAAAAGGAGCTATGGCTAACAGGGTTAAGTAACTTGTTCAGGGTCACACAGCTAAGTAAGTGACTGAGGCCTGATTTGAACACATGAAGATGAGTCTTCCTGATCCCAAGACCAGTGCTCTATCCACTGTACCACTTAGCTACCCTCTATTTTGTATAGATTATGTATATATTTACACATGTACATGTAGTCTCTGTCTTTAGAACATACACTCCTTGAGGGTAGGGATGACTGTTTCACTTTTGTCTGGCACACAGAGGGTACTCTTTGAGGGCAGAGACTGTATTAAATGCTTGTTGATTGATTGATTGATTGACTAAGCCATTGTGTACCTAAATGTTGAGGGGTGTATGGGGTGTTCAGGAGGACTAGTACCTATGGTATGAGGGTTTGCTGAGCCATTTTCAGGGCTACTCATCAATCTTTAGTGTCTACTTGATTCACTCAGCTCTCACCTGTGGCTCCAAGAAGCTGTAGCATGCGCTGTGGTCACACTCCAGTAAAACCATCTCAACAGGCAGGCTAATACAAGATGAGGGTAACCAACAGACCTCAAACCTGTCCTGAGTTAGGGAGATGTCCACCTCAATCATGCGAAGATTTTTCTTGGTGGAATGGGCAGATGAGAACAATTCGTTCCAAAGGCCATGAAGCAGGGTGCTTAGAGTTTGGTCAGACATCAAAGATGCCAAGGTCATCCACTACATCCTGGACTATTGCCAATCATCCTTAACTTTTGTCCTGCCATTGGATTTCCATGACTCAGGAAGAGAGAGTAAGACTGATGACTCTGTAACTCTGCCTCACTTAAATCCAATTCACACACAAGTCAAGACCCATGATGGCATCAATCCTCTTCAGAAAAAACAACAACAACAACAACAACAAAAAGGACAAACAGCAATAGCTAAATGTCCATAATACAAAGACAAGAATGAAAGAGTTGTTCCCCTCAAGAAGCTGACATTCAAGACTCTAGGACTTTTTTAAAGAGCCTTTGAACTAGAAAACACCATTTCTTGAATCCTGTCTACCAATCTGAAAAATAGGAACATTTATCTAAACCTGAGCTGGATTTTAATGTTCTTATTTCAATCAATAAATCAATAACGATTGTATGGCTTCTAAGTGCTAGGCACTGTACTGGGTGTTGAGGAAACAAAATAAATGAAAAAAACCCTACTTACAAAGAACTTACATTCTAATGAGGGAAGCAAGATATGTGTATATATGTATATGTATGTATACACACATTTTTATATGCAGAAAAAATATAAATACAAAGTAGTTAACTGTAAGGTAGTTTGGGAATCAGGAAAAGGAGATATTGAAATTCAGACTGATAGCTAATTTGATCCTTTCTTCTATTAGGGTAGCAGGGGGACATTGACTCAATTATATTTGACTGGTTTGAAGAAAAAAAGGAAAGTGGATTCTAAAATCTATAATACAGAAGCATAATGAATTTTTCTAGGACAAATCAAGCAAATAATAGCTTTTCATATTTGCTAATACTCTGGATCCTTCTACCCAGAGAAATAAGAACATTAAGTCTACCTACAAATATTCCAAAAGTCATAATATCAATAATTTACATTTTCGTAGTTTTAAGACTGCCCTCTTTTTACACTCATCATCACTCATCCCTCTGACTTCCCAGATCAAAACATTCTTCTTTGCCACCTTTCTTCTGTATGTGTTGACCTCTCCTTATCAGAATGCAAATTTCTTGAACTTAAGGACTATCTTATTTGTATTGCCATAGCTTATCACAGTGGCTGACACACAGCAAGAAATAAACACATGCTTTTCCACTCATTCATTCAAAGTGCATATACATCAGCTCTTGATGATGAGGCCTGTGAGTTGGGTACTATTATCGTCCCAATTTTATAAGTCAATACTTATAAACTGAGGCTCAGAAGTTTAATGTGGCTTGCCTAAGCTTACATAGTAAGTAAGCAGAATTCAAGCTTAGGTCTTCTAAACTCCAAGTCCAATGATCTTTGTGCCTGCTGTGGCCTGTACAGGGTACAAAGAAGTACAGGCATTCTCAAGCTTACACATGAGTTCTGTTCCAAAAGTTTTAAAGTTACTTCTTTGGAATTTCAAACATATTTTCCCAATAAGAACAATGTTGTAAGTAACAGCTATGTTCCCAGCCTACAAGCTTCCCTCCTCCTCTCTGTCCAACTTTTTTTTTTTCTTTGCCCTGAAAAAACCATAAAAACTAATAGTACTATTTCAACTCTTCCTAATTGCCATATTCAGCATTTTTCCTTGGGCAAATGCATTTGAAATTTCAGCTCTGGACACTAGGAACACACATCCTTTCTTTACTCTTCTAGGAACCAGAGGAAGACAAGTTAGATTCTCCTGGACACCTATAACTTAATTCTCTGTAACTACGTAAGAACATAACTCTCTGCCTCTGTATAAGACACAGATGGTGAACTCTTTTGCTTAATTACTCCCC